GGTATTTTCTCATATTGGCCGAGGTTCGTTGTTTTCCCCGGATTACGTGTTACTTATACTAACTATAGCAGCCGAGTTCCTACCCCCAATCCGGGGGAGCCGCGATGCTAAGATTACCTGGATAGAGCCTTTTACAATATTGCTGATTCGTAATGTCTCTAGAAGCGCCTTAGCCCCCCTAGCTCTCAAGAACGCAGTTGAGTGGGCACGTCAGTTCCAACAACTCAAAGGAGCTAAGGTAACAGCGATACGTTTTTACTGGTAAGAAGAAAAACATCTGATACCCTACAAATAATCCGACTAATAGCTATAGTGATGGTATGACAGCCACGCAAGACCCTCTGATAGCGAGGCACCCAGTTCTTGAGAACTTATTGCTAGACTGCGGGGGGTCATATACCCGAGCCAAAGACCTCCCGACTGTCACGGCGCGCAACGGCCGTAGCACACTATAACCCACTACAGGTTGCAAGTCGTCGACTTGCAATTCTGGCATCCTTTTGGGGGTTCTAGCGCAGCGGTAGTGGGTGCTGTGAGCTGGCGCCGTCACACCGACAAATGGAGCTTGGACTGCGCGTCTTTTGAACGGTGAGGAAGGCAATGAGCGATAGTCTTGGTACGGTTCGACCTCTTCTGGCAAGGACCAACAACTGCATCTCGTTGCCAAAGCCGACTTTGAGTCATTGGAACAACAAGCTATGGGTCTAGATCTACCGCCTCTTACAACCCCCTGGCGGTTATATGAATGGCCTGCGCGTTAGATGCAGTAAGAGGGGGCTTGAACAGGTGGGGATTTGGCTATTGAGAAGAGGTGTTTGGTGTTGATGACTGCTGGGGAGGCTGTCGCCGTACATTCGTGTCTGTTGCATGCATGTAGAACTAGACCGCAGTGTTTTCGTTTAGTTAGCCAAAGACCCAACCTCAGATTGTTAAGGGCCTCATATGGATCATTTGAATAGAATGTAATGTTATGTTTTGATCGAAAGGAATCAGCGCTGGCATCAATTCAATCAGGCCTAATATGAAGCCTTATTGGACTGTATTTGAGGCCCAAAATGGTGTATTTATCTGTGTAAGAGGCTCTCTCTGTCGACCATAGTCTGTGTGCCAAGGACCAGTTTTCCCTAGCTGAATGCCCTCTCGCACTCTGTTGACATGGACGGTATTGACAACAAGTCAAAAGCCATCTTTGACTGTCACGGCCGGCTTGGAATGAGGGCGGAACTCCTCTATTGGGCGCTATAGACGAAGATTTTAAACTAAAGGGAAAAGGGAAAAGAAGCTCAAAAGCCTCCCCTCGCGAGATTCTTCCAGGGCGTCTCAAGGTGGGGCTCTGGCTGGTCGGGTGGATCCACCCAACTGGCGTCTGATTAGTCAGAGCGTCTGGGAGGCCTGGAGGACCAGGCCCTCACATTGACAACCGGGGCCAACGCTCTCTTCTTTCCTTCCACTAAGCCAGTATATAATCCAACCGCCTGACGCTTTCGTGAAGGTATTCAGCTAGTTCATCCTTCTGGTTGGGGTCATCAGGGTCATTATGGTAGTCGTGAGTAATAAGATGACTCCCTCGACCTTCGTGAGGCGTACGAACCGGCACCGGGAGAGGAATGGCGGCGTACTCGGCCTGGTAGAGATCCCAGAAGGCCCTTATCGCTTCTTTGGCCCGCCCACCGCCCAGGAACTGGGTTACCCACTTCTCCTTATGCCCTGGGTGTAGTATCATAGCCGACCAGTATGCTAGGCTCTCCTCCATCAATCCAACGTATTCTCTGAGCTTCTGAATGGCTAGGCCAATGCTCTTTCGAAGAAAGGATAGATGATCGTCGTCAAGATCAGCTATTGAGGGCGGCGGGGAGGGTGGAGGGTTGTTTTGTAGGTCGGCAACAAGGTTCAGGGAGGGCGGCCTGATCTGGCCGGTCGGCAGGCGCCGGGGTAGGTAGATAACTGAGTCGTCGAACCGGGCAGGAAGACGACGGTTACGCTGCGACCGTTGTGATGCTTCCTTAGTAAACAACACGCCGTTGTCATCGTCGTTGTCTATGCCGAATGATAGAGGCTATTAGGTTGCGACCGTGATCTCTAGGTGGTAGGGAGGCTTGTCGAGACGGTCGTGACATCAACGGTGGAGGCAGGCATATTATCGAAGACTCGGGAGCCAAAGAAGCAGGGAAATCGCAATAGGAAGGTAGGATTCGGCAGTTTGTTTACAGCGGTTAGCGATAGTTGCATTGCAGCGGCACAGCGGCACTCGAATTCAGGGCATTCGAATTCAGGGCATTCGAATTCAGGGCATTCGAGGATTTTCCCGGGACCAGAAAATGCAGGGTTGGCCTTGGTCAGGGACTACCCTAGTTCCAGGAAAACCCGGAAAATTTGGCCCAAAAATGGCTCAACCAATGGGAAATATTTACAAATATGCCAATTAAACTGCCCTCAATTTGGCCTGAATTTGACCTCCAAAATGGCTTATTTGCCTGCAAATACGGTTATTTAGAGGTCAAATTGATTTGTCATTTATTTGGATTGGTGCCAGCGCTGAAAGGAATGGCTTCCAAAGTACCGAATTCGATGGTTCAGGAAGGTTGAATGGCCTTATACACGGTTATTCGGGTCCTCTATCAAAGCCTGCTAGCTGGGAAATTCCTGGCCGGGCCGTCAAAGGCGGTCTAACACGGTATTCTCTCCTACCCGCCCGTCACATTTGAACGGGTTGATTCTGCTAACGTCCCATTGCGGCCTTCGCTGCTCTCTCTCATCCCCTCAGACGGCGCCTCGGCATCGGTAAAACTACCTTGTAACTCAAAGACGTTTTAACTAATAGTTGCCTAATACTTTGAGAAAAAGAATTATTAGTAAGGAGGGGCAAGTTCGATGTTATTATTAGTTGGTCAACTTTGATAAAGAACTGGGGCCTTCACTAGGCGCCGCCTGAGAGGATGTTGGCGCCTCTCAACCGCCGCCGCCACCGCCACTGCCACCGCCACCGCCGTCGCCGTCGCCATCGCTAGCTACCACCACTCACCTTCGCCTAGGCGCCCTGCCGCCATCGCCGCCTCCTGCCTGCCGCCAAACGCGCTTTGAGAATCGGCAGCAGACGGGCTGTTGTGATGCCACGGGCAGATACGTTCAGGGCGCCACGCTTCGTTCGACTGGAGCACCCGGGACACCGGGACACAATAGCTTCACATAGCACTTGGGGATAGAAGTAGGAGACGCACTCAGAACCTTTTTTTTTCCCCAAATAAAGTAAGAAACCTGTATTTTGTCCCGACATCTCCATCCTAGAAAAGACGATCCCTAACCCGATGATTATGATACAAAAATAATTCACATCTTCCCCTTTGCCACTGCATTAGGCTTCGGTTTTGCCTTTGCCTTTCCTTTGGCTTTGCTTTGCCTTTTGCCCTTGTGTTTTTCTTCTCTTCGGCCTCGGCTTTGACGCACATTCTAAGACGCGGTGCTGCCGTGGATTCTACTAATGAGCGCGCCGTATTACGTCGCTTAAGGCCTCTTACTGGAAACCTGGTACTAGAGTAGGTGTGACGGCCTGCATAGGAAGTTAAAGATTGAATGCAGTAACGAATGTGGATTTAAAGCTAAAGAAGGAAAACTATCGCAGGGACCGCGCAGGGAGCGGGGAAGTACTGTGGTCGCGTGCAAGAATAAAACCCCCTTGTTAGGTACCGGTGGGGCAAACACTTTACGCGTTTTTGACTCGGCATGGGGCTTTTTATTACCCATCATACCACAGTAGGTGGTGGTGCTGAGCCGTAGGTGGCGACGCGCACAGACCACACTCTAAATACAATGCGGCCAATAGAATCTATCATGTCATGTGCCCAGTGGCGACCGTGACAATAAGAAGGCGAAAGGAGCGAAAGGAGATGGAATAACTGTTGGCGGTTCTGGACCAGCGGGAGGTAGATGGCTCCAGCATTACTAGGGTCGCTTCAGAGAGAGCTTTGAGACACTACAGAGCAAGCGCTTCGTATCGCCAAAGGCGCGCGAGCGCGGCCACTTGAAGGCTGAGGCGGGGGCCGTTTTCGACTGCTGCCCTGGAGCCGGGAACCCGGAAGCAAAAAACAGAGGCCGCGATTATGGCTCAAGAATTTCTGGTGGTGGGGTACAGTACAAGGTACCTGGAGGTGTGCCAAGACAACCCTGTTTCGGGACGCAGCGGGGCGCTTGGCGCCAGCCTCCTGGCTAATCCGACGTACAGCAGCAAAACCCACTAAAAATGGCGGCAGACTCCCGACACATTGTTGAGTGCAGGCTTGCTGTACATAGTGCCTCGAACTTGTCGACTTGATGAACGATCTCGGAGACTATCCAGTCGGCGAACGCATCGTCGGCACCGTCCGGCTAGGCAAACCAGCCATAAGATCCATGGCGACCCAGCTCTCCGACCGCATCGGCACGGTGGACGAGAAGCTGGGCTGCGAGATAGGGACGTACACGCGGATGTAGGACTGGTGCCCCAACTGTACGGTTCGGCTCCTCACCGCCACATTGGGCGAGGATCTAACGACGGCGCGTCACGCGCTCCATGGCTCTTGAGGACTAAAACTTGGCACAAGGGAGGGAACAGGGGAACAGAGCTCGGCGCAAAAACATCATAGGTCGAGACGGGATGTGTGCTGGCGGTAGGCCTCGGTGCGTCTTGTGTTTGGCGCCTCTGTCGGCCAGTGTCACCCATCGAACCGGCTGGCAGCGTCGAGATGGTTGGTGGTAAATCAGCAACAAGTGGAAACATTTGCCACCCACCTTCGCCCATACCTTATTCACATTCTGAAAGCCCCACCAAAGTTATCCTCAGGGTTAGGGTTTACCCCACATGGAATCGCGCTTCATAGCTGGTGGCCTTCGGCCTGTAGTTTTAGAGAGAACAACCCATTCCATACCGTTCTTTTCAATTCTTAATTTGGCACAACTTGTTTCCGCGCCCACCTCCCTCCCCACCCCTCCAGATCTCTCTTGAACTCTACCGTCCTCGTAACAAGATGAGGTTCAAGACGTCGGATGAGAGTCCTAGTGGGCTAGAGTACGCGATCAATCATGTCTTTCTGCCGCCTCGCCTCCCGCAAACAGACGATGCCAGTCTCGAAAATGAACTCTTCTTGGCAAAGTCGCTTTACAAATCTTTGCTCGGATTCAGAAAGCTAGAGCCAGCCTCATCGGAGGCCTTGAACCCGGCTCTCGACATGGTGGGGCACTTTTCCAAAGCAGAGCATATCACGCCCCCTATAATAAGGGCTATGATCTGTGGCCTGAGTAATGGAGGTAAGCACCCGAGCCGCACGCACCCTAGAGTCTCGGGACAACATGGCTGACCTAGCTTTCTTGCCCATAGATCACATCGTGTTTTATCTCCGCGCCCAAAACGCCGCCCTCTTCGTCACAAGGAAGGCAGAGGACATCCTCTTTGAGGCGTTCGAGCTGCTGCCACCGAATAGCAGGGTCATGTCTTGTAGGGGCTCCCTACTTCGAGAGTTTCCGGAATGTGCCGCTCTGGTGAAACTCCACGTGGTCAGCAGCGAGGCTTTCTTGTCAGTCTTCATCGAAGTCATGACGAAATTGGAGCTCGACATAGCGCCCAACGCACAGCCAAAGGCCAAAAAGGGAGGAGTGGAACACGCAGAGGAGCGAGATACCATGTCTCCATTTCTTGTCACTGGCATGGTGATGGATGTCTTGGCTGGGCTGGGCTGCCGTGTCCAACCCAGTCGATATATCAAGCGAAGCCGGGAGCAGGTCGACTGGTCGAACGCTCGTCTACCTTTTCATCGGTCCCCTGTTTGGCTTCTCCTTCGGGTGTCCCTCCGCCTAGCCTTGGAGCATGGTCAAATCCTCTCAAATGAATGGTCATCCCCGGGAGTCCTGTACAAAGCTCTTCTTGCGTTCCATCATTGCCGACTGTTGCAAGACGCCACTCGGCGCGGATTCGGAAGCGAAGTGCTCTATTGTATGGGTGCCAAGGTAGCACGTCGAGTTTTAAAACTTGATCCGCCCTGCCAAAGCCCCTGGCTCCGAGAAGCAATGACCGCGGTCGAGGCAGCCAGGCTCGTGCTGCAAGGGAGATGGGAAAAGGTTCAGGAAAGCGACAACACACAATTGCCCCTCGAGCGCTTGTCTTCTCTCTCGCTAGATGACGATTGCCAGCTTCGTTTGCGCAATCTTCGAAACTACATGTCCTGGATGGACTCGAGAGCCCCTGCCCGGCGAGCTAAGGTTGGGCCTGGCGACCCAACCGCATTCCACACCCTGCCGCCGATGACTCTACCTACTACTCAGTCTCTCGCATCCCGGAGCCATGGCGTTCAAAACTTTGAGCTCCTAGAGTTTGAGGACTGGGTGGACTGTAACTTGGGGCCTTGGTTGGAACGCTGCAAGGACCCTCTCTTCAGTCAGACCAGCTTTGGACACATGCAAGCGGAAGCCCAAGTCGATCAGCTCAATGATCTGATCTTCGCCTACTACAAGAGAGCAAGCAAGTCCTACCAAGATATTCCCGAGGCCTTGTCGGTGATGTTTCTGACCATCATGGAGTTGTGGGTCGCACTCGACGATATCGCAGGACGCGCCGTCAAGTTGCTTTTGAACTACGACCCGGGGCTAACCCCCGATCTGCTCCAGCCACTGCTTCTAAGCACGAAGCGGCAGATGCAACGTCTCCAAGCGGTTGAGCAATACCTCGTGTGCCGGCAGCAGAGAGCAGGTGGAAGCTACCCTTCGGCCTTCTCCAACTTTGGCGATCCCTATTCCCTGGCAGTTCGATATGTCCACAGTTCGTGCTCACACCAAGCTTTACTCGAGGAAATCACGGCGAAGGCCGAACGAGACAAGGCGGCCAAGATTCGCGAGTATGAGGCAATGCGAAACCTCTACGACAGCTACGTCCGAGAGCGTAATAGGATGGATCACAACGACAACAGGGATCGATGGGGAGACATGACTCATCAGCCCAACTCTTGCAGTCGCTGCCTGTTGGACGACCAGATCAAGTCAATGCGGATCAGCGTTTTTGAGTGGCCACTTCCAGCGGATGACAACCACGCCATGGCCACCGTCTTCGAGATCGATGTCGACAAGACTGTCTGGCTCTGGCGCAGTGCGACCATGGAGCTGCTCACAAAAGTCTTCAGGGGAGAGGCGGTCAAGAGAACGAGCACGAAACTATGGTGGGCGGGCTCCCATTCTGGTCTCCAACGGTTTGTGCGCCGCAGGAGTCGCCTTCATCCAGCTAGTTATGTCAAGCGGACCAACGAGTCGCACTACCGCGATCAGCATATCAGCCAGGCTACGCGGCAGAACGTTTGTGTTGAGCATGTTACTTCATACAGTTACTATGATGAAAATCTCTCCACCAAGCCGGAGACTGCAGCGTGGGCATCTGGCTCGAGAGTGCCACCCGATTGCTCCTATGCGCGACCTGGGTTGTTCGAGGACTGGGTCCGCTCCACAAGACACACCTCCAACGAAGTCATCGCAGCACAATGGAGCTGTCCCGGGGATATGTCGCTCGAAGAGTTTCGGGCCGTCGGAAATCTTCGATCCGGTGCTGGATTGCAGTGGGCGAATATTCTCTGCCAGTTGGTCATACCAGCAATCGATTTCAACAAGGAACTCTGCCATGACCTCATCATGCAAGCTTGTCTTGAGGCCGGCGCTCCAGGAGCCACTAGACATGTCCTCCGGATGGCACATGCCGATGCAGGATGTGAACGATACGCCGGAAAGGCCACCAAGGCTCTGCGGGAAGCGCTCCTTCGAGTCCAAGACAGCTGGCAGAATGAGACTACCCTCTGCCTCATCGCACGCTTGAGTGCACGCTTATTCTCTCTTTCGCCCTCCAAGGGGGTCTCAGATGAAATCCTTGAGCTCTTGGCCGCCATTCGAAAAGTCTCCATTGGCTGGGTCCGGGAGCTCGTCCGGAAGCTTGACGAGAACGTCTCGGTTTCTCACCGAGATTCGTTGTCGCGACGAATCTTGATGTCGTCTCTCATTTGCGCCATCACTTTTGACGTTGGGGCAGAGCCTCTGCACTCGGTCCTCAATTCTGGGGACAATCTCTCGATATATACGGAGGTCGCCGCTTCCGTCCACGATCACCTCCCTGGAGACGGAGTTCCATCCGAGAGAATCCCCCGGTGTTTGTTTGATCGATGGCAGAGAATCTCCCACTTGTCCTACACAACTGTCACGGAGGAGGTTGTGAGCCGGGGGAACGGCGGGCTTGACACGACCATGAAGATCTTTTGGAGCGAGTACGCACCGTCCCGCTCTGGATGGCAGGTTGATGAGCTGCCTAGAGGACATGTCCTGGTCTCCAATACCGACACGCCGGATGGTCCAATGACAGTCTCATTCAACCTGCTCAAAGGGCTCGTGCTGGTGAACGGCCACCCCCTTGCTCGGCTCCCAGAGTCCTACCAGACTCATCCGACGTTTATTCAACTCTTCGGCAGACAGATTCTGGACGTCATGCCCTCTGCCATTCCCGAGATGCAGTTCTCAGCACGCCGGGATCAGATGGGATGGGGTGTTCATTTCGCCATGACCGACGGAAAGCTGGTCATACGAGCCATCTCGAGGGACATCTCACCCCTTGGCAACGCATCGCCGACGATGTGGGAGTACATACCCTGCGAATACCTGAAAGAAGACCTACCGGCTACATTCGTGAAGAGATATTCGCATTGGATGAATCTGTCCAACCAGGTTATTCAGTTCCGCCCGGTGCAGCAACCATGGATGTCCGTGCCTGACAGTTGGGCCTTGTCTTCAGGAATTCTGAGCAAAGGAGTATGTCGTGTGATTGATCCATACAGTAACACTGCGGAACAGATCCTGAAGATCATGGAGCCTTTGGAATCCAAATACAACATCGACTGCATCTTCAACTCAAATGTTGACTCTCTGGAAGTGGAGCTCCCGAGGTTCTCGCTCTCTTTCACCCTGGCTAGAGAAGACTCGGTCCTCAAATCCAAGAATTATCCGGGCATGTGCGTCAAAAAGTCGCAGGGCATTGGGACCTTGATCGGTCTCAAAAGCAAATTGGTTCTCGGGCCGGCAGAACCTTCCTCGACGCGGCCAAAGACTGTCTTGATTCCCCAGGGCGGGTTCTCCCCAAGAATCGCTGGTGACCACGTGGAGGTTTTGGCGCACCCGAGTTCAAAGAATCGTATTCGGCATCACATCTTCGAGGCAAATACAACCCTCGGTCTCCTTTCAGACAGTGGTGCGCTTTCAAGCAAGCTCCTGATCTGTTATCTGCATGCCTTGACATCGCATTGTCTCCCCGATCCCTTGACCCGTAGGACCGGCACAGAGGAGGCCTTGAGACTCTTGGGCTCCGCAGCGCTGCGTTCATTTCAGCATCTGGACGCAAAATCCGCCGACTATCTTCAAGCCATAGCGGATCTCTCGCCACAAAGAGCCTACTACCCGGACCACCTGCAAGTCATGGAAACCGTGCAGTGGAACAGCAGCCTCCTGTCACTATCTCAACACGATGCGTTCTGGCAGATGGCTCAAGCGATCCACGACCACTTCAAATCCTTTTGCGAAATCTTCCCTGACGTTACCAAGGAAGCTGTTGCTCCAAGACTTCGGGGTGAGTCGTCTGGGCTGCTTGTGGAGCGGGCTAGACTCCGAAACGCAGCCTTTCGCGTATCTGAGTTCGGGGCAGAAGTCGGCCGTGGAAGCTGCAACGATAACCAGCAAAATCTCTCTGAGTACGACCATTGGTATCACAGCAAAGATGGGCGACACCTGGGACCCTCAAAAGAATGCAATCGCGCTAGCCTTGTCGCGCGATGCCTTGACGCTGGGGTCCAGCGCTCTTTGTTTAGTCCGCAGGGCTCGATACAAGATATCATCCGCCAGGTGACAGGCGAGAGTTTCAGCGGAACGACAAAGGCCAGCCTACAAGTCAATCTCGAGAATCTCCGGCCACCGTTGGAGTCCATTGGGGAATTTTGGTGCAACCTGCACACCTCTCTTGCCGCGGAGAAGAACAAGTACCGAATCATGTTCTTTTTGGCCTTTCTGCTATATGCGACAGGCGCCAAGTGGGAGATCGTTCAGGTGCTGATGGTTTTGAGCATGCCAGAGCCTAGTACCTCCGTCTGCCCACCAGCAGAGCCGTCCTTCAACCTTGCCATCACCCGAGCGACATTCAAGGGCGATGCGACCAAAGTTGTAAGTCGGCTGGCTCACAGGAGGGAAGAGTGCCCAGAATGGCGGCTTCCCCGGAATCACGGGGAAAAGAATCGGGCATACATCACACGTCGTCACAATCTGTGGTATCCCGAGTCAGAGAGATTGAAGTCCCGATTTGTCGACGACTTGAATACCCAGCTGAATGGCGCATGGATCCTCCAAACCCCGGCTGGTGAGCCTTATGGATCCTATATGGACGTCGCCAGCATCATGCAGTTCGTTCAAGATCTTGCGAGAACAGCCAAGCGGTCCCACGACTTTTTCAGCTATCTTAACGATGTGGCGGCCATCTTGCGACAAACGGATTTGATGCCAGCACAAGACCGAACAAAGATATCAGAGACACGGCCTCTTCCTACCGATAAGCTTCCGGATTTGAGCAAGCGCTTCATCAGTGCGAGCTCCTTGTTTTCGTGTCCAGCACCCAGCTTCGGCCGTCCCAAGCTGGCGCACTGTGTAGCCCAGCATTCCGCAGAGTCTCCGGGGAAGGCGATGCAGGACCAAGCGAGACCCGTATCTTCCCTCCTCGAGCGCCTGTGGAAAAAGGCCTCACAAAACCATCAGAGAGCTTACATACAGGAGCTGCGTGGTAGCGCTGAAAGCATTGGCGTCTCTTCCGCCGTGTCGGCAGGAACGGTATCACGAGTTGATCCCAGTCCCACCGCTCAAACCGCGAAGGAGCTTGCAAACAAGATCGCAGCCGCCATCGACAAGGCGTTGACGGGTGGTTCCGTGGCACGAGAATTCTGTCTCGCTGCGGGAATGTATCCTCGTCTCTCGCCTGTGTTCACTCTCGGGCGGCTGGCGAGGGCGCACTGGGGCAGCCTTTCGAGGGAATGGCAACGTTGCTTGGTCAACTACGCCCTCAGCTTGGTTTACCTCCAGCGTGCTAAGCGCCTTGCGAGTTTTATTGGTAACCCTAATCGCAAGCGTGAGCTTCAGCGCGAACTGGCGAATTTGGGAAGCCACGACGAGTTCGACCCACTCAACCACCCGGAGGGCCTTCTCCTAGAGCTTGAGCAGGGCATCCTTATCCGCCCGGTTCAGCAAAAGATTGCAGCAACCATGACGACGCCCCCTGGCGGCAAAGGTGCCGTCATGCAGCTGAACATGGGCGAAGGCAAGTCCTCGGTCATCGTGCCTTTGGTTGCCTCAGCACTGGCGGACGGCAGTCGTGTCGTTCGGGCCGTGGTGGCCAAACCGCAATCTAAACAGATGATGCATACCTTGATCGCTAAATTGGGCGGTCTTATTAACCGACGGGTCTTCTATCTTCCGTTCTCGAGATCTATCCGACTGTCTCCCGATCAAGTAGAGAGTGTCCGAGCCATGATCCAGGCCTGCCAACAAGAAGGAGGCGTGTTGCTTGTGCAGCCTGAACACCTGCTGTCATTCAAGCTGATGGGAATTGAGAAGATTTGGCATGAGGCGCAGCAAAATCCGACCATGGGCGGCGACATCCTCCAGCTCTACCAAGAATTCGAGGCAGTGTCAAGAGACATTGTCGACGAGAGTGACGAGAACTTTAGCGTGAAGTTTGAACTTATTTACACCATGGGATCGCAGCAACCCGTCGAAATGAGCCCGGAACGATGGATCTTGATTGAAGCAGTGATGGAGCTTTTACGTGACGTCGTGAAGCGCTTAGCTCGGTCAAAATCAGGAGGCGGTGATCTTGAAGGACTTTTGTTCGAAGAACGGCAGGACAAATCGGGGGGCTTTCCTACAATCCGAGTCCTAGAGGATGCTGCAGGACAGAATCTCGTTGAGACCCTCGCCCACCAAATTTGTGCGCTTGGACTACCGGGTTTCCCAATTCACAACGTTACCGCCAGCGTGCGACGAGCAATCTTGGCTTACATGTTGAAGGAAAATCTTTCCCAAGACGAGATTTCGAGCGTCGAAAAGGCAGATAACGGCTTCTTTGGAGAGAACAAGACCAAACAGGGGCTGCTTCTTTTGCGGGGCCTTCTCGCAAAGGGCATCCTCTTGTTTGCTCTGGGACAGAAGCGGTACCGCGTCAACTATGGACTTGCTCCTGATCGACGTCCACCCACGATGCTCGCTGTCCCATTCCGAGCAAAGGACATGCCGTCCCCACGTTCCGAGTTCAGCCATCCAGATGTCGTTATCGTCTTAACTTGCCTGAGCTACTACTATCGCGGCCTTGCCGACGACGAGCTCTTCACCAGTCTCGAGCTTCTGAGCAAATCTGATCTCGCAGACCAAGAGTACGGGATCTGGGCCTCCGCTGCTCTGGCCCTTCCTCCCACGCTCCGCCATTTCTCTGGAGTCAATCTTAAGGACCAAGATCGGTGTAGGCAGTCTTTGTTTCCTGCTTTGCGATATGTGAAGCCGGCAGTCGACTTTTACCTGTCCAAGGTTGTCTTTGCCAAAGAGATGAAAGAGTTCCCCTCAAAGCTGTCGGCCTCAGGCTGGGATCTCGCGAAGCCAAAAACCCATCCCTTGACCGGCTTCAGTGGCACCATCGACTCGAAGCGGGTGCTCCCTCTTGCCGTCAAAGCTCTTGACCTGCCGGATCAAAGATACACCAATGCGGCTGTTCTGGATTGCCTTTTAAGGAATGAGAACGAGGTGCTAGAGTTGGGTGGGGGGCCGTCCCAGCTATCCGTCCTTGACACGCTTCTTGATGCCGTGACCAAAAAGGGGATGAGGGTCATCCTGGACGTTGGTGCTCAGATCATTGAGTGCAGCAACGCCCAACTGGCCAAACACTGGCTCGAGAGCGCCCCTGCCAGCGAAACAGATGCCGTCATTTACTTTGAAGACAACGACGACCTGTCCGTTCTCACTCGCGACGGCACCGTTGATGCCTTTCTAACGTCCCCTTTTACCTCCAACACAGAGCGCTGCCTGGTCTTCCTGGACCAAGCACACACACGAGGGACCGACCTCCGGCTCCCAGATCGGTATCGGGCCGCCGTCACGTTGGGGCCCGCCATCACCAAGGATACTCTTATCCAAGGTACGTTCTTCTTCCTGCCTCATGAGAGCCCTGTAGCCTCGACTGACACCATGGCAACAGCATGCATGAGAATGAGAAAGCTTGGTCACGGTCAGTCGGTCACGTTTTGCGTCTCACAAGAGATGCAGAAGCGAATCCGCACCACCTGTAGCGTGGATCCCAGTCACAGCATCGCCGTCGTCGACGTGCTTGAATGGGCCATCTCGGAAACGTGGGAGGAAGAGGTTCGCAGTATCCCTCTCTGGGAAAATCAAGGCATCCGACATCTGTATCAAGAAACAATTTGGGATCGCGTGGCCAGGCAGAAAAATTTCTCACAAAGAGATGCGCAAGACTACGCCGAGCCAGAAACCCGGACGCTGGAACACCGATACCGGCCCATTTCGGCCGCGATGCAGCCCCCCGGCCCTCCCACTCTCCTGGAAAAGCTCACGGCGGCCCTGGGTCCATCTGACATTGGGAAACAGCACCTCGGGTTTATTAAACAAAAAGCTGAAGGCTTCAAGCTGGTCTCGGCGGCCCAGTCTGCCAATTTTCAGGAGGAGCAAGAACGCGAGTTGGCTTTGGAGATCGAACAAGAGCGACAAATTGAGCGTCCGCCACAGATGGCTCCAGTACCACACGGTTTGCACGATGACGTGATCCATTTTGCATGCACGGGGGAGCTGAGGCTGGCGAGCGCGGCATTCATCCCTTCGTTCCAGGCCCTCGAGAAGAGCAGCGCCGTCCAATACTTCCCTCCCGGGGTATCCAACTTCCCTAGTGACCTGCTGATCACTATCGACTACGCGCGCACTGTCGACGAGCGGGGTCAAGGCTTTTGCTCGGACATGTACCAGCGGCCGGTCCAGTGGGTCCTCACCTCCAAGTCGCACATGGTGGTCATCAGCCAGTGGGAGGCCAACAAGCTCAAGCAGCTCGGGCCCTGGTCAGGCCCTGCCATGCTCCGCGCTTACCTGCCCCGACCGAGCCTCACCTTCCGCACACTCGAAGACCTCCAGATCTACACGGTCCCGGCGACGGCGAGCGACGAGGTCCGCCCCGAGCTGATCATGCAGCTCAACCTCTTTGCAGGACAACTCTATCTGCGAAGCTATCAGCACTACGTCGCGCTGTGCCGGTATTTGGGGCTTTCGTACACGGAGAACCGGGGTGACGAGGAGATCGCGGCAGATGGGTTCGTGAGAAGGAAGGAGGGGGAGTATGCGGGATGCAGGTTTGAGACGAGCCCGATTATGTTCTTGAACGTGCTGATTCAGAAGCTTCGGAGGGACCGCATGGGAATTGAGAAGACGCATATGGGAAAGATCTTGGCGGGCGAGATTCTAACGGAGAAGGATTTTCCTAAGGAGGAGGCTTGAGGGAGGACTATACTAGGGAATAGGAGGTTACTAGTTAAAAAATCGCCTATAGTTGACGGCGATCGAGTTGAGTGTAATCGTGAATTCTCTCGAGTAACGTAATTGCATAGCGAGTGGCCACATATAGCGAGTGGCCACTCTCCCCACCCCAATTGAGCTTTCGCACGACACACTAATACTATAAAAATGATTAATTAAAACTACCTAGAATCTAATCCCTTATCTATTTTCGTATCTGTTAAAGTGTGGCTGGTTACTACAGCTATAGGGCCCTGAAGTCCAGGGCACTGTAGCGGTGGTACAGAGGTTACAGGCAAAAGTTTTCACAGTGGGTCGGGTACTGGCAAGGGTCACGGTCAGGGACCCACTGTCCCCTCCGATGTACCAACGCGTCGCGCACGGCTGTCAATCCAGAAAACCATCACCACCTTTGCAATGGCTTCGGATCCCCCCTCTACGCCACCCTGCCAGCATTTCAAGAATCCTGATATTTCCCGCGATGAGCGGCTTCAAGTTCAAACTCTCCGCAATATTGGCTTGACGTACGAGCAAATAGTTACGCAGCTTGGGTTGACCTACAACCAAGTTAGATATGCTTCCAGTGCTCCAAATGTTACACCAAAGAAACGCTCTGGTCGACCTGGCCTTCTCAATTCCGATCAGATTGAAGATCTGATCACCTTTATTACCTCCTCGAAAGCCTCTCGCCGAATGCCTTACTCGAAGATTCCTCTTGCCCTTGGCTGGAGCTGTTCAGAGTACGCCATCCGCTACGCCCTTCGTAACGCTGGCTTCAAACGCTATGTTGCATACCGAAAGCCCCCGATTACCGAGAAGAACCGAAAAATCCGCCTCGACAACGGTCTCGATCGTGTACACTGGCCTCTCGAGCGATACTACGAAATCCTCTGGACCGACGAGACCTGGGTAACTACTGGTACCCATCGAAAGGTCTGGGTTACACGCCGTCAAAACGAGGCATACGACCCGACTTGCATCGTTGAGCGTGAACAACGGCCAAAGGTATGGATGTTCTGGGGTTCATATTCAGCAAAACATGGAAAAGGGCCTGCTCTTTTCTGGGAGAAGGACTGGGGATCGATCACTGGAGAGAAGTACTCGGAGAGAGTTATCCCTCTTGTTGATGCGTGGTTTCGGCTTCATGTTGGATTGGCTATTGTCAGATGGACAAGGGTTGCATGTGGAATAGAGCTCATCCCAGCTGAGCTCTGGTGTGGTCATCCGAGGTGAAAAGAGGCTCAGGGGAGCTGAAATGAAGTGGCCAGTTCAGCTGGTGTGGCTGCTTTTGCCACCACCATTGCCACCATTTACAACTATAATAGAGGCCCTCTGGCAGGACCAAAAAGAACAAGGAGGAGAGAGGAGTCAAGAAAGTTGAAGTGCTGAATCCAACACTTCATCCCGGCCAGGTATTTATGCAAGATAATGCCTCTCCTCATACTGCCCAGGTCACTCGCGAAGAGCTTACAGCTCGAGGGATTCCTGTTTACACCCATTCTCCCTATAGTCCTGATCTTAATCCGATCGAGAACGCATGGAACTGGATGAAGGATTACATTGCAGTCAACTACCCGGCAAAGATGTCATACGACCAACTGCGCGAAGCAGTAAATACTGCATGGGAAGCGGTCCCTGAGGAATTCCTTAGAGAGTGTGTAGATACAATGCCCGTACGGCAACAGGCTGTCATTGATGCCAATGGAATGTATATTCCTTTCTGAATTGACAGCTGCGCGCGACGCGTTGGTACATCGGAGGGGACAGTGGGTCCCTGAACGTGACCCTTGCCAGTACCCGACCCACTGTGAAAACTTTTGCCTGTAACCTCCGTATGGTGTGTAAGGAAAAAAAGAAAGCTAGATTACAAGAGGTTAGAGCTATAACCCCTCCTGGCTGCATGTAAACAAGCCCCCTTTTTGTTCCGTGCCAAGTATCCCCTCGTCACTGTCACTTGTGATCAAAAGAGCAGCAGTTCCAAAGCGCAGTAAAAAAATCAGCATATTCTCTTCAGCAACTATATAGCTATGCAAATCAAATCTAACTAAAACTACTCTGGACTATTCAGCTAACCGAGCAATTCTCACCTCACATCGCAAACAGTAGAGACTGCAACAAAGGCTTCGAAACTAAAGCAACAAAGGCAACACTCCTCACTTGTCTCTCAAAACGACGCAGGCTACTTGACCGTCCTTCACCTCAATTACAAAGCTTCCTCCTCTTCCCCCTCCTCCTCTTTGCCCAGTTTAGCCACCGGTCCCCCCTTTACGCCACCCACCGCCTTCAGAAACTTCGAAAACACATCCTGCAGCTCGCGTGCCAGGTCAGACTCAGGACTGTGCTCATCAACAGGACGGTGAGGACGCTCAGAAGCAGAAAGGTAGTCGGTGGTCACGACTTCGTCGAAGCCGAGCTGGGCAACCTTGTCGTCGCGCAGGCGCAGGACCTTGGCGCGCAGCGCTGCCTGGCTGCTCGCCTCGTAGTACCCACCGTGGCTGTCGTGGACGAGGGTTATCGAATTGGTGACCCGCTTAGTGAAGTCCACGAGGTAGGTGATGCCCATGGACGACGGGTTGATGATCTCTCCGGGCGAGTACGTGCCCGCGGTGATGTAGTACTTGAACACGGGCTTGATGCTGTAGGTTGTCAATGGTGCCGCGAGGAAGGTCGCCATGGGCACGACTTTGCCATTCATATTCAGACCGCCAAGGCCGGTGAAGGTATTATCTTTTTTTTGTCGCGTATTAATTGGTATATATTTATTTGCGAAGGAGAGCAAGAGGTTGAGGAGTGTGTGTGTATGTGTGTGTGGGGGGGTGGGGGAAGGGAAAAAAGCTTACTGGGATCGGGAACCCCAAAGGTCGAATCAGTGTTGATCGTGTATGCACCAACAGGCGCGTCTGCAGCCGGGGCAGGATTCACGAAATGCACGCCCGGTTCAGTAGTCAAGAGCTCGGTCGTGCCGCGCGTTGTTTTGCCCGTATTGATGTCGACGGAGCCCAGGGTAACGGCATCGTAGTAGCTAGTAGCCACCTTAACACCGAATCGCAAGTTCTGCACCGAAGTGCCGCAGATGGCGTAAAACTGGCGCGTGATGGTAAAGGTAGTCGAGCTCGAGCCGCTGGGACTGGTTACGATGGTCGGTGACGCTATGAATACGCTGGAGAAGACGTCGAGGTTGGTACCAGTGACTACTGGAGCGGCGGCAAAGAGCAGGTAACTCTGCGCGGCGCCGGACTCATTGAGGATGGTGATTTCGTACGTGTTGGCCATCGTGGATGGTGTCGAGTGGCTGGGGTGTCGTGACTGAAGGATGTCAAAGAGTCAAGAAGAGGAAGGCGTTGGCAAAGTGTCTTTGTACGAGGAGCTGACGATGGTTGGGCTCGTTTGTTTGTGTCTGTTGAGTGAAGAGGTTGAGGTTGAAAACGTGCGAGATCTAGCCTCCTTATATTCTATAGTACTGAGAGCCCCGTAGGATTGAGAGCTGGCAGTTCTCGGTGCGACAAGTGTGATAGCACTCCCTCACTTTCCCGAGTTCACAGATAGGAGAGTGTTCGAATGTACAAGCCGTCAAGTCCCAGTCTACAACTAGAATCATGGAGGTTCCTCGAGCAGCGTTCGAAGACACTCCAATTCCCACACACATGGTGAATTTAAATGGACACTGGTGATGCTGCCGCTTAATGTGTGCGATGCGATGGATTTCGGGCGGTCTAGGCGTCGGAGGATGAGCTGAAGTTGGAACTGCGAGTTCAGCTTTTGGCAAGTTCAGCTCATGACGAGCTCGGGCGAATAACCCAATCCGTCAGGTTACCCCTCTTGAGTCAATAAAAGGGTCACACAAGTTGCGAGCAGTTGCATTGTCGGTGATGGCGATAGGAAATATTGACGCTCGTGATTGGAGGCTCGGTTGAGCGGCTCGTCTCGTTGGCGGGCGGCCGAGACCACTGCAGTCAGCCCCCGATTAGGTCTAGACTAGCATACATCATGCATTATAGTCGCCGTCCATCACTAGCGTAGGGCTGGCTGAACCTCCAGATCACCGGCGTAGAGCTGGCTGAGTCTCACCTCCCTCTATGAAAATTCCGGCCCATAGAGGCGCATTCTCGCGAGTCGGAGACCATAAAGAAGGGCTGCGGCTTTAAGGCGGCTGTAACGGTGTTGGCCGTTAACAATGGACAATAGGCCCTGTAACTTAGGGAGCCAGTCTATACTTATCCTCTCGCTAAGCGCCTCGACTGCCTTCGCCCTAGACCCCCGGGTAGCCCGATCTACGGCTCCGTTGCTAACGGTATTAATACCGACCCCGATAGCGCCGTCGACATCGACATCGACTAGCCAGGCTTCGGGCCTCAATTCTTCTATTCGCAGTTAACCCTCATAGTGGGAAGGCGTTAGCCTGGAGTAGGAAGACAATAGGGGCCAGGAAAACACCAGGGACAACGCCCCTACGGAGGCACAACGAACTGTGAATAGCCTCACAGTCCCCCGCCTGCTCGCGGCGACCGCGGCGGTAACCGGGGCAAGGAGCAGGGAGCCTACAGTCCGAGAAGACATCCTCAATGTAAAGGATAAAGGGCCAAGAATCTCAAGAATGGGCAAAGAGAAGAATAATCAAGCAATCTAGGCCACCAAATCCCTGCAACCATCCCTAGCACCAGATATTCGGCGTTTCCCCCCGCCCCTTTTCTTTTAGATTTCACATTATCCGCACCCCCCATATCTTCCACGTCATCCACCAACCGTTATTTCTCCGAGAGGAGGCCAAAGCTTCATAATGGCTGCTACTCTTTAGATCTCTGTCACCCGAATACAGGCCGGGACATACCATCCAGTCTACGGGCCATGCGTCAATACAACCGACTCGCTGGGCAACGAAGTTGTGCCCCCACCGGCTGGGTCCCTGACGATTTGGAGCCCGGCAATCGCCGATAACGTCCAAGGCTCGCTGGTGACGGGTGATGGGTTCTTCTTGCCCGTCACGATCCTTCTTCCTGATATTCGGTACCCATTGTGGCGCCTACCCCTCCGCGTGACCTTCGTCTTCAGCGGGACTATTGAAGGATACTGGAGGAGCAACAGAGGCACTGTCTACGGAAGTCTGCCGGGCGCCAACGGGCTTGTCCCGATGCTCCAATGCCCCGTTGCTGACTGCTGAACCAGGCTGGCCGCAGACTCTCATCGTGGAAAAATTTCGACTGGTGGCTGGAAGGCCGTTCGCAGACCCCAACGATCGTGACTACAAGTTCGCCGTCCCCCTTCATGCGGGCGGAGACTGGGCGTGGACGATTCGAGATGAATATGGTACATGCACTTTTGCTGTCATTGCAGGACCATGTGCTACTCAGGCCGCAAGGTTGGGTCTAGCCGTTGGTCGATAATGGTTGTATTTGCGTGCCTCTGTTCTGAAATACGGCTTACCCATACGTCGTGCTAGCGGAATATCCTGCCATCCCAGCGGTTCAGTTGACTCGGATGGAACTCAGCTTTGTGATCTCGCCTGCTCCAGGGGTTCTCTATCCCCCCAATGAGCAAGTGGATTCCAAAGTCGACTTTGGCAGCTCGTATCCCGTCCTTGTCCAACGATGGTCATTTCTCAAGATCACGGATCCAGACCTTGACCCGCGCCCCATCACCCCTCTCCAACCTGAGGTGTTCTACATCCGAAACCTAGTCGCCTAGGTCTAGGGGTACGGGAACTCGGCATGGGCAGTTTCTAGAATCACCTCACCTATAGTGGCACCTCACCTATAGTGGCAACGCCCACGACATGGGCCCCTTTGGTGGAGTATTTGCCTCGACACATGGGTCAACCTTCTCGATATTAAACACAGCTACGTGAACTGCTATGACCTTGCCGCCGTCTTGCAGCTGGGGTGTGCCGTGGTACTTGGCAAAACGGCAACGAGACCTTCGAGTCGCGGTGGACAGCACAGTATCCCTTCGGATACCTGAAGCCAGGTCAAATGTTTGGGGAGGGATTTATATCGAGACAGTGTAACAATCCCTTTTGGTACACGGAAGTATGCACCTGGCTGGTCCCCCCCCGGCTCTATCGGCCATAGACTGACACCCACATCCGGCATATTCTAGATCCAAGATGGAGCGGAGATCCCGACGTTGAAAGCCTCAACACCAGACGCACAAGACTTATCGCCCACCTACCCCTGGATCAAGGTCCGGTTTAACAGTCTAGGTGGCGGCAAAGATTATTATATGCTCAACAGCACGCACGGCCTTGTTGCCAATAACATAGCAGTCCCAGAACATGGGACCAAGCCGCGATTAAACTTCCTTGCAGCACAGAGATTCCCTTAGCCGAGCCGAGAGCAGCTTTGGAGGGCGACAGGGCCATCGGCGGCTGCGAGTCGGGTTTCCCCGCGCGGCCCGTCGGAGGCTCTGCTCCCTTTGTACAAGCGGCCGACGGCCTGGGAATCGCCAACTCGTACATTGTCCAGCTTGCTGAGGGCCACAGCCTCGCCTAGCACTGGGCAACCATTGACCAGGACCTGTCGGCGACGGCCAAGACATTCTATGCCTACAAAAACGACAACTCGTACTGGGTCCTCTTCCCAGACGGAGTCAACGTGCAGAACGTGATCACTCACACGTGCGGGCCGACGCGCGCGTTTTTTTTGTCGAGCAGGACCAGATAATCGAGTTAGAGCCCAAGGTAAGCGAGCGCAGGCTTGCAAACGTTCCTCCCGATGATGGACCGCCGCCGGTGTCGAGGGGTGGCAGCAGCCAGGGTAACCGCCAGTGTGGACGAGACAAGGCGCGTGGTTCGATTCCATAGCCATGGCCGGCTCCAAGCTCGGCCTTCCATCCCGGAGTCTGACAATAACACGAGCGGATGAGCTACCCGACCACTAGCGAAGGTGTTAATATTTACATATTGAACACGGGCATCCGGACGATGCACGACGCCTTTCTGGACCACGACACGGGCCTGTCGAGAGCGCGCAACATTAAGAACCTCAAGGATTCTGACAAGTCCCCTACCTCGAGGGGGGGGGGGGGTCCGAGACCATGGCTGACACGGATGGCCACGATACGCACGTTGCAGGCATCGCGGGCTTTCACAAATGGGGCCTAGCTCCCAAAGCTAGCTTCATCAGCCTCAAGGTCATGAGCGAGGGGGGGTCGTCGCATGGACTGCAAAAGGCCATCAACGATGTCATCGAGGAGCATACGCAAAACAGGGCTAGTAATGTCCCTGGCTTCGAGGGCTCCGTCATCAACATGTCTTTAGGCTTAGGCGACTCGCCCTCCATGAAGTGAAAATGCCGCGATGCTGAGAGAGTGCATTGTAGTGGTGACTGCGGCCGGAAACTACGGGACAAGGATGGAGAACGCAAAGAGACCCTCGCCATGTAACGCCGCGCATTTCGGCTCCGTCATGTATGTCGGCTCGGTCGATAACAGCTAACGGCGCTCGTCCTCATCCAGCTACGGCTATCTCGTTACCACGTTTGCGCCGGGCTAGGAAATCGCATCGGTCAGCAATTTTGACGACACCGAATATGAGACCATTAATAGTACCAGCATGGCAAGCCCCACCGTGGCGGGCATCGTCGCGGACTTCATCTCGAACGGGGGCGCCTCCTTTGACGAGGGCCGGGCCGTGTACGCGCGGTCGTGCCGCAACTCGACCCAGAAGGCCATCGTGGGTATCCCGTGGTGGTCCGGCAGCGACACGCCCAACTAGCTGCGACGACGGGGCTGAACTACCCGGAAAAGCTGCCGACGGACCCCTACAAGAACCCCTCTAAGTCGTACGCGCAGTCGGCCGCGGCCAACGCGGGCACGACGCGCTGCGATATGGATCTGATGCAGCTGTGGAGCTGCGGGGACGACGCTAACAACCTGTACGCCTACTCAATCAACATCACCGGCTGGGACGGCGCCGTGCTGTACAGCTACCTGCCGCCTACGCGGCAGACGGTCGGCCTGCCTATCAATGATGGGTCGCAGTGCAGATCGACGCGCCTGACCTGCCAAGCCGCTGCAGATCATCGCCGGGCACACAAACGACTACATCCAGTTCTAGTACGGCGACACCGGCTTCACCACCCACGATGCCACCGGCGACAACACGTGCCAGATGGAATAGGCGGCGGAACTGGTACAGGGAAGAAAGAAGATAGTGCGCGCGCGGGGTACTTAATTGGCCATGACGCTCTGCCAGGTACGGAACCTTGGGGGGGTAGGTAGGTAGCCAGGTACCTAATAATCGTCAATGGCTGTATCAAATAATTAGACGCACAAATCATTAGCCACGATAGCAAGCCCGGCTGCCACCGTTTTTTAACATCCATGTGATGTGCTGTGAGACAAGAGAGCTCGGGTTTGTCGACTTGCTTCGGCAAGTAGGCTAGCCTAGGGGGCCGGAAGTGATGTAAGGAAAAGGACACCCCAAACACCAACTGCGCGCACAGGGTGCGCGCCCACCACTTGTCACCAACTGGCTAGAACACTGCCAGCTGGCATACGCTACGCCGTGGCGCCACGACCGCAGACTGATGCCCGGGCCGAACCCCTGAGCAGGTATATAAACAATGGCCCTCGCCCATCTTCCTTTGCGAGGGCCAGGTTGAAGTCTTACACCAATACAAGTCATTGCTCCCCTACCTTCTTGCCTGCATTGTGACCACCTTGATCAGGCGTACCTACCTTCTCTTACAAGTGAGCCGATGCGGTAGTTGCTACTTCTACTTTTAGAATTTGCTCGGAGCTCGGACAGAATTAATTCTGCAAGGTGGGCACGACTGTCCTGTTACCCGCCCCTAATGCGAATAGTAATGTGCAATAGTGCGCAAGATTTTGTCATTCGCCCCCCGGCCCTCGTCGTCAGAGCACCACGTCTCTCGTCTCGTTATCATTGAAGAGTTTCTCGCTCCCGTACTGCTCGGCGAGTTTGCTTCAGACACCCGATATAGTTTCGTCTTGTGCTTCGAGCCCACTGTGCCAAGGTAGGCGCTGGGAGTGGGACCTGGCATCTTCCTAGTGTGTGATCGCTCCTGCTCATCTGGTGACCTTGCTGGGCACGTGTTGGGCTGTTTCCCCACCAAGGAGTTTTTGCCCACACAATTTTATTCTAAGCACCTTTCCATTGTCTACTGCCACCGGTTACGAAGCCTTCTTTCTCGTCTACTTCCACAACCGTTCTTTGCATTCCAGAGCGAGCATTACCCAGCTGATAGTCAATCCAGCGATTGGTTGGTGTTTTCCTAGTGCGTGCGTGAGGCGTAAGCGCGACCTCTAAAGCACCTTCGTAATCTAGCGATTACCGTACTGCACCCCTAGTTCATGGGCATATTCGACCAGCTGAACATTCCTCAATTTCGACGGCATTTCGATCGTCGAAATTACCCAGCTCTACCGACCTTATTCCGAATCACCGGCCCTACCGATCGCGAAAATCAATCCGAGTCTTCCTTGGCTGCGTACGGTAACCAATTCAGCCGACCGAAGCTCAACTACAACATTCCTAGGTCGGCAAAGCGAAGACATCACAAACTCCAACAAGATGGATTCTTCAAAGCTTCCGCGCCCTGAACTTGTCCTTCTGAAAGGAGAAATGGATCTACCTCTATGGGACAAGGCCCGTCAGTACCCGCCCAGTTGTCGGGCGGCCAGAAGCAGCGCATCGGAATGCCGACGGGCTCGGCAACTTCGCCCCATCCCCTGCGCCTGGACCGCCATTCCCGGCTCAGGGACCGAGGTCATTAAAGGCCGGTAGCCCCTGGGACGCCACGATGAGGCACAGGGACGTGACATGAAAACTGCGCCACTACTCAGTACTACCTCGCAAATGGTCTTCGCGGACAGGACCGTGAAAAGTGGCCTATGCTCCTCCTCAATCGCAAGACTCCAGACTTAAATTTTTTCACGTCAGTGACAATGACGACAGAATGGCCAGCCTCACCGCTTTTCCTCATCGTCACTAATCGTCCCTCCTTTCGGCTTGCCGATTGCTTGCGATCTTGGCGGCCTGACGTAATTCTAGGAGCACACAGCCCTGGTGCCATAGCAGAATTGCGAAGGCGGTATGACTGGATGGGACCCAGTTTTCTGCTGTCAAACCCCTTCTAATAATTCCACACCAGCACGTACCCGAGAATGAGGCCCGCGTGTCATGTTCTCACGGTCAGCATGTGAGCTTTTGGCGTGATTATCTGCTAAATTCCACGCTACGATGGTCAAAAATTGTGTCGCGTCTTGATAGCCATTGTGGAAACCAAACTAGGAGCCGTCTCGTTAGACAAAGGCCTAAGAAAGGTGTTATGCTGCGTCACATTCTCCCCAAGTTTGTACCGCCCCGATTAGAAACGTGCCATTCTAGCTTGGATCAACCAATTAATTTCAACCAACTTGATAGGAGCAGAGACCTCTGTTTACAGGAGTCTGTCTCAAGGCTCGGCAGAAGGAGAGAGTGGGAGGCACTCGGCTTCTTCACATATCAGCGGATTTGGCAGCCAGCCACAGGAGGTAAAGAACGGAGAGAAAGATAAAAAAAGAACAGGAAAGCAAAAGAGAATAAAAGAGAGACAAAAGGAAAACAATCGCGCCCCACATCACAAGTCCCCCAACCACGTTGGATACCTAATCTACTCGTCAGCCTCCTCTCTTCGTCGCTTCGATGCCTCCGCTTCATCCTCCGTCCCGACGACGTCCTGTGTTTGTTTTCGTTTGTCTTGTCCACGCAGCGCCGCGTTCGTCATGCCCATCTGCGGAAATCCCTTCTTTGGATCTGGGACGTGCATTAAACGGACGGGCGGCCGCTCGTCGGCGTATTTTCCCGTGGCCAGCAGCTTCCGGCTTTTGTCCCATTTGGACGCGGGCGGGCGCTCCCATGACAACGTCGTGCGGCCAGCTTCCATCTCCCGCATGGTGTGGCTGCGCCCGAGGTACCACCCCTCCATGCCGTCCTCGGGCGGGTCGGGTATCTCAAAGTGGCGCGGCGCTAGCGTGTAGTGGGCCAGCTTGGGGCTGTCGCGGCGCTTGCGCACCCAGGCCATGAGCTCGTTATAAAAGGTGTCGACGTCGTAGTCGAGCTCGACGCCGGCGTGCTTGACCCACTTGGGGCGGTCCATAATGGTATTCTCGTCGACATCGCTGAGGAGGTATCGCGAGTACTGGGGATCGCGGGTGATGAGGTAGTAGAGGAAGAACATGGTGCCCTTAACGTCGTTACACCTAGGTATCTCTCCGAGATAGACGGACTGGCCATGACGGACCGTACCAATCTGGGCGGAGAAGGCAAAGTCGCACAAGAGGATAGAGCCGGTAGTATCGGAGATGAATAGGTTACGGCCCGCGATATCCTGGTGGACGATTCCGTACTCGAAGTAGAGCTCATCGACGAGATCCATCAACTCGCGTAGCCAGCGTATCTTGAACGGGCGTGGGAGGCGATCCTTGAGCGTCAGTGTCGGTATGAAGGGCATAGTGAAGCCGACGACGCCCTGGCGCCAGAGATCTCTTCCAGGACGAGCGAATCGATGGCCATAATCCGTGGGTGAGGCGCCAGGCGCGCTAGAAGCTGGATCTCCTGCCAGACGGAGCCGCCGAGCACGTTGGGGTGGGGATTGAACTTGAACGCGGCCACCTTTTCCGGCTCCTCTCCATACACGACCTTATAGACAAATTCGGTTCGACCGATCACGGCGAGGTCGGACCGGAGCAGTGCAGGGAGCAGGGCGGGAAGCTGGTACTCGTATGTCGAAGGATAATAGGTACATTCGCCACCGCCCCATCGGGGATCGGAAATTGTCCGGAGGAGCTTGCCTGACAGGCTAAAGTCAATAGCTGTCACTTCCGGTGACAGATCGTCGACAATGGGACGTAGGATACGGGCGGTGCTCATATTAAGTCGGTCAAAGATTTCAGGGTCTTCCTCGTAATGCCTGTTCCAAGTTTCACAGTCGGAGCTGTACTCATTTGGGCGTCTGACATCAAAATAGCGGAACGAATCAGAGTCAAAGAAGACTTCGCTAGTAATACCCCCCATCTCGTCACGGTCGCTCTTATACCGCAACTCGCTACCGTCTCGGCCTCCGGGGTTTATATGGAAAAACCCGGACCATGGATCGTTCTCGTCCATGGTAACTGAATATCTTACCGGGAACCACGGAGAGTAGCTGGACATGAAAGAAAAGAGTAGCAGGAGAGTGCGTGCGGTGGAATAGTCCGTCGCCCAAGTTCTGTCACCGCCGTATCTACTGAGCTGCGCACCCACCTAATAAACACCCGATTTCTTTGTTCCTCAGCCCCACCCAACTCAACACCTTTTGCCGTCCATCCATCTGCTTTATCCCTTTCCATCGCCGTCAACAAAGATTGCAACAACTTCTTGTCTTTGTCGTAGAAACCTCCCACACTTCCCGTTCGCGGAAGCGTAGAATACAAAAAGATAGCTGTCAGAGGATCAGAGGGGGAAGCTATCAGAGTACAAAGGGGAGCTCCCAGAGGGATGGGGCCCAGAAGGATGGGCAGAGAGTTGTCAGTTTTAGAATGAGACGGGAGGGGGACAGCACATGCCCGCGCAAGGATGGGCAGAGAGCTGTCAGTTTTAGAATGAGATAGGGAGGGGGACAGCACATGCCCGCGCAACTCTTCATCCTCTACCGGGTACGATGCGTCAATTTTACTTGTGATATCACTTACGTCCGTCCTAGAAGAGAGTGAATTGGCGACTAGATGAAGCCCTCAAAATCATAAATATACCACGACTTGCTCCTCTGGTGTTATTCGACTGGCAAGCCCCTAGATATTTTCACTAACACTCTCAGCGCGCTTCATTCAGTACATCTACTTACACGCTTTCTCGGCAGCACCTTGAATCTAGAACAGACATATAGCAGCCTCGTCGGCAGCCTCGCTCTCCCTGTCGCCGCGATGGTCCAAGTCGTCACCATCGAGGACGTGAGAAGGGGCGCCTTCGGGTGGTTCTGGATGCGCCGCCAAAATGGCTGCCCGTGCGGACGCTACGCCTTTTACCACGAGTGCGGCCATTTGCCAACCAGCCCAATCCTTCACAAATGCGGCGGGACGTTATCCCAAGGCAGCGGCGGTATAATTCTCTGCTACCGCCCAGCCCCGCTCGTCAATGTGCACAACGTTGTCATCAGAGGACAGTGCAGCCACTGCAGAAACAACAACAACAACAACAACCACCGCTGGGGTCACTAAAACCAAATACTGCGTGCCGCGGCAACAAGGACCACTCCACCATCCGTTATTACATGCCGGAAGACGAGGTGTTTTTCTTTGTTGCCACTGTTTTAGAGGGGGGGGAAGGGGGGTGTGAGTCGGGGTTTCTTTGTTGTCGCTGTTTTAGAGAGGGGGGGGAGGGGGGTGAATCAGGGATTGTAAACACACTCACTGATCAGGGGACAGGGGTGCAGGTCAGGGATGAAATTAGCGGCCATTGCGTTTTGACGAACAAGTCTCTGCTCTAGGGCACTCTACTTTTCAAGAAAATATTCAATGTTTACACCCCACTTCTGAGCCTGCGGCTCCCTTCTGACCGTGCTTGTGTTGCTGTTTTAGCTGTTGTTTTGTGGTGTCTTTTTCACCGCCCCAGTCCGTACCGGACAGCGTAAGGCCCCTGAGGGATTGGCGGGAGAGCCAGGCTGCAGAATGGCTGACGAGGGTCTAGATTCGTGCGGTGGAAACCCTCGGGAAGGCCGAGCCTACACCTAGCCGTGAGGCCGTCCCGTTATTTGCCCTCTTTCGTTTAAGAGTGTGGTTAGTGGGTTGATGGTAATAGTAATTAAGTTTCGGACGGCAGCTTGTCTAAACTTAGACGCTTAGAGCCTTAACGAATTCTTGGAACGTACGATTAAAGAGATATTGATACTTTCCCTCATACCCTAAGCCTAGCTATTCTAAAGCTAAGGAAGAGAAAGGAATCTATTGTGGGGTCCGCGCAGGGCGCAGAGAAATAGGTAGTGGTGCTCAGTGCGCACAGGCTACACCCTAAGCACAATGCAGCCAATAGAATCAATCCTGTCACATGAGCCCTGTGGCGACCGTGACACTCTAGATGAGTATATCAGGGGGCGATCACCATCGACGAGCGATACTTCCAGCGGCAGAGAGAAAAGCGCCAGGACAACAAGAGCGGGAAAGGTAACCGCTACAACAAGCCTAACGACAAAAAGAAGAGGCACACTCCAAGCACCTCTGATGCCTGATTGAGCGAGGGAGCGCCAAGACAAGGTCATATGACCGGCACGTGTAATTTAAGTACATAGGTACATAGGGAAGCGGGGCTTACCCTGACGCGGTTAGACCGCGTCTGCCCCACCAAAGGACCACATTAAGGTCCTCGGCAGGGCAGTGCTCCCGAGCTTCCTCCCTCGATCATCAATTTACCTACCTTTTCACGAATAGCCTACCGCATTCCGTGATCTAGGTGACGATCACCCTTCAACCTCGTACGGCACTCACCCAGGACCAATGGATGAGAGCGTCGGCGCACTCTCTCAGGCACAGCCCAGGAACCAGGGCCAGGGACAGCGGCCACCACGCGACAAGAAGAACGACACTTGCAACAACTGTAGCAAGATAGGCCACTGGGCTAGAGATTGCCGACAGCCCAAGAAACAGGGACAAGGAAGACCTCCGAACGACAAGAGGGCACGCTTCAACGATTCCCAGGCCATTGGAATGGTACTGGAGGACGTCGACGATTCTCAGACCATTGGAATGGTGCTGGAAGATATCGACGAGGAAGAGAGTCCACCGGACTACGGAACCGCGGCACTTGCCTACGAACTTGCGGAAGCCTGGGGACTGGAAGTCCCGCAGATCCCGGAGTTGCCCGAAGGAAGGAGCGACCGCGAAGCCGGACCCGAAGCCAGACCGGAAGACGAACCGTGTAAGGAAAGAGCACCCCAAACGCCTGGCCCGGCCCAGGCGCCACCAGCTGGCCCCAAACACCCGGCCCAGGCACCCGCCAGATTGAGCCACCTAACTGTGTATATAAATAGTGGCCCTCGCCCACCTTTGCGAGGGCCAGGTTGAAGTCTTTTACCAATGCCAGTCATTGCTCGCCCTCTTGTTCCCTCCATCGTGACCACCTTGATCAGGCGTACCTGCCTTCTCTTACAAACCGGAAGACGAACCGGAAAACGAAGAGGGCCCTGACCATTGGCTCTTCAGCTCAGCCGCCGAAGAAAGACTAGCCTGCATCACCGGGGAGCTTGGTATCTCCAGCTCTTCCAGGCGGGGGTTCATGGTGACTCGACGTCAACAATGTCTGTCCGCGTCTGCGGATTGTCGTTCCTGCTGCTGAGTAGCAGTGTTGATAGGTGCGTACGACTGGTGTCACGAATCCCTATTCGTACTGGTTTGAAGGCGGGGCAGGGGCGGCGGGACCCGCCCCGGCCAATCCCGTCGATGAAGAGCAGATGGACCCACAGTTGCTCTGTCGTGTGGAGAACAGAGCGATGTGCTCTGTGTCCCCACAATGAGAGCAACAGAGTAACGCCCTAATTGGCCCACCTTAGATATATACGACGGCCGTAGCCACGGTCTTAGGTAGGTCTTGCTTGGTTCTTCAAGCAAGCAATACACATTCACTGCACTCATACACTTTGAGTGGCATTCCGATTTGACTGTATTACCCGTGCGATAGGAGCTTGCCCTTTGTTCTATCTTCATAGTTACCAACCCCAGCATCCTGTGGAGCCCGTGCTCCCTTACAGACAGACGACCCTAACAGTCGAGTGGTTTGTAATAACTGCCTGTATAGACGGGACATTCTGGGATTGCCTCGAATGATCTCGGGGATCGGCTGTAGTTCAGGAATCGATCTGGGGTTGCTTCAGTCGGCCTTAAGGCTATGAATTGGCTGATAATCCTCCTCAGCAGACTCAAAGACTTCCTTGTCTCCCTGAAGCGGTAATACCGAGAGGGATGCAAAAAAGGTGTAAAAGGTGATGATTTTTCTGAGGCTAGGTGGGCGCGGCGGATTTCCTTAAGGTTGGAAGTCCCTAGACCCCGCTATATCAGGTGCCAGATGTAGCGCTCCACGTAATGAAGCTATTTACACTTTTCGTGCATCACCCCGAAAAGTTCATTGCAGTCTACTCGTAAAGATTTCATTGCAGTGAACCCCCTGTCCGAAAATGTGTGTTGAGTTTCCTCCTATTTTCATTGCAGTGTACTTCACTGCAAAGGGGAATTACGGTTAGGGTGCTTTGTGAGTGTAGAGCGCTCAGGAGGTGTGGCCGAGTGGCTCATACTAACTGGCAGTAGTCTGGCCAGTTGGCGATAGGTGGTGGGCGTGCGTGTTGATTTGTGCATGTCCTTTAGGGTGCTCTTTCTTTATAAAGAGAAACCTATATATATACAGCTTGGATCAAAATCGGCGTCCGGTCTTACACTCTTTGAGGTGTTTGGGCACGGACCGCATACACTTCGGAGACATTCAGCTACATCGTGATGCCAGTACAGCCAACACTTCCCCGCTTTTGCAAGCTGACATTCCGCCAAGCAAGTACCTTAAAGTACCGCTAGGCGGTGATTACCTGATTTTCTCCACAGTACAACGACGCAGACAGGTACTTGGCTAATCCATCAGCTACCTGCAAAATTGGTATTTCCCATCGCCAAGTACGGTTTGCCTTCGTGTCTCCTTTTTCTCAATCGCCCTCAAAGGGCATTTTTCACATTGTCATTCATCTTGAGGAGGGAGGTGGCTAAGCCCACCAGCAAAACAGATACCAATCACGATGCTTTGACATGCGCAGTTGGTGCCAGCCGTCAGGCGCAAACGCCACCAAAATGCCTGACATGCGGGGTTGGGGATTCTGACAGGCAGTGACAGCGAAACGCGTCGAGCCCAACGTCGGCCACAACAATCACATCACGGGCCAAAGTACGATCGGGACCACTGTGATGTATACTGCGCGCCTTGGCTGCCAATGGTAGGTGGTATTCCTTGCCTTTGGGATGAATAAAGCTGAGCTACTGATGCGTTGTACCTATAGATCCACGACCTTGAAGCCTTCCGTTTGCGTATCCTTTGAGCACCGTACAAATACATGCTGCGAGCCGAAACCGATAACCTTGCAAGATGCGGCTCCTAGAAAGAGGCGATACCGGCGAGCTCCACTTAACGAACCCGATTCCGAATGACGCGATCCCCGAGATCCCCCGTTACGCGATCCTTTCACACACATGGGGCGACGAGGAGGTCTCCTTCGAAGACATGGCGGACGGTACAGCCAAGAAAAAAGCAGGCTATGCTAAGATGCAGTTCTGCGGAGATCAAGCCTGGCTCGATGGGCTCAAATACTTTTGGGTTGACACGTGCTGCATCAACAAGTCCGACAAAGTCGAGCTTGAGCACGCTCTCAACTCCATGTTTCGCTGGTACCGTGAAGCAGCCAAATGCTATGTCTATCTCGCGGACGTCCCAGCCAAAGAGCATAGTGCCAACAGTAACGGTAGCTTGGAACTGGCTTTTCAGAAATGCAGATGGTTCACCCGTGGATGGACACTGCAAGAGCTTATTGCTCCAACCATCATTGAGTTCTACTCTAAGGAGCGCGAGTGCCTGGGAGACAAGAAGTCATTGGAAGAAGAACTACACGCCATAACCGGAATCCCTCTGAAAGCTCTCCAGGGAAGCCCTCTGTCTAATTTCAGTGTCCCTGAACGAATGGCGTGGATGGACAAGCGAGACACAAAGTATGAGGAAGATAAGGTGTACGCTTTATTCGGCATCTTTGACGTACACATACCGGTTATCTACGGCGAAGGATTGCAGAAGGCACTGAAGCGACTACGAGACAAGATCAACGAGGACTATCTCTGCTTGGCAAAGTTGTGGTCCACTGAGCCGCGTGACCCGCGGGTCGAAAAGAAACGGATCGAGCTAGCAAAGGGCGGTCTACTAGTTGACGCTTACCTCTGGGTCCTCGAAAACCCTGACTTTAACCGATGGCGCCACTCGACAGAGTCCCGGTTGCTCTGGATCAAAGGGGACCCCGGCAAAGGCAAGACTATGCTGCTATGCGGCATTATCGACGAGCTCGAGCGGCTTGTTATCGCTGACGGTGGTAACTTGGCATACTTCTTCTGTCAAGCCACCGACCCACGCATCAACAGCGCAACTGCCGTGCTGCGGGGTTTAATCTTCCTGCTTGCCCAGCGACAACCACGTCTCCTCTCGCATCTACCCGAGAACTTGTATACCTCTGACGACGCAATGGCATGGATCACTTTGTCGAAAACTTTATTCGAGATGCTGGAAGATCCGAATTTGAAAGATACCTACTTAGTAATTGATGCTTTGGACGAGTGTGTGATCGACCAACAAAAGCTTCTCGGCTTGATCGTTCAGATATCGACTATATCTGCTCGTGTCAAATGCGTCGTTTCTAGTCGCAATTGGGTTCAGATCGAGGAACAGCTGGCGACGGTCGCGCAGCAATCCAAGCTTAGCCTCGAGTTGAATGCCGAATCCGTTACCGCTGCCATCGAAGCATTTATCCAGCACAAGGTCCTGCACCTTTCGCGATTGAAACAATACGAAAAAGCGATAGAGGATGAAGTACATCAGTATCTTTCTTCCAACGCGGATGGGACATTCCTCTGGGTGGCGTTGGTCTGCCAAGCTCTAGCCGACCCGGACGTCCAGGGGTGGCACATTCTCCAAGTGCTACGCACATTCCCCCCAGGGCTGGATGATCTGTATTTGCGGATGGTGCGCTATATCAAGAAGTCGAAAGATACCCTGCATTGCAAGCGCATTCTTGCCACTGTATCGGTAGTTCAGCGGCCCATCAGCTTTTGGGAACTCGCCACTCTCGTCGAGCTGCCGGATTCTATAACAAGCTATAGAGAACGACTGGAAAAGCTTCTTGCTATTTGCGGTTCGTTTTTAGCCCTGCGCGAACAATCTATCCATTTCGTTCATCAGTCGGCCAAAGACTTTCTGCTGGGTAAGGCTGATCTAGAGACATCTCGAGAGGCATGTCAAGAAGCTTTCGGTTGGGTCTTCCCTCAAGGGACGGAAGATGTACACCACATCATCTTCTCAAGGTCGCTCAATAAGATGTCTCCGGTATTAAAACGCGACATGTACGGCTTAGAGGAACCAGGATTCCCAATCAACGAGGTTCCAACGCCATCTCCAGACCCTCTGGCCACAGTACGGTACTCATGCGTCTTCTGGGTTAACCATCTCCGCGACTCGATTTCCGATAAAGACGTGCTACAATGCCACACACTGGATGCGATCCAGACCTTCCTTGAGCAGAAGTACCTTTACTGGCTCGAAGCTCTTAGCTTACTCCAAGCTATGTCGGAGGGTGTCATTGCCATAAGACAGCTTAAGCTCCTACTCGTATGTATAATTTACTACCGTCAGAGAGCTATACTAATAGAGATGCAGGAACACACAGATCAGAGGCAGCTAACGGCTTTTGTTCGAGATGCACATCGGTTCGCTCTCTCCAACAGATGGATAATCGAGCAAGCTCCTCTCCAAGCGTACATATCAGCCCTCATATTTGCACCAGCTTCCAGTCTAGTGAAAAAGAAATTTAAGGCGGAAGAACCTAGCTGGATCAGTACGAAGCCAATAGTAGAAGCGGACTGGAATGCATGCCTGCAAACGCTAGAAGGCCACAGCCTTTCGGTATATTCAGTTGCCTTCTCACCAGATGGCCAGCAGCTCGCATCGGGTTCAGGCGACAAAACCATCAAGATCTGGGATCCCGCCTCAGGGCAATGCCTGCAAACGCTACAAGGCCACAGCCTTTCGGTATATTCAGTTGCCTTCTCACCAGATGGCCAGCAGCTCGCATCGGGTTCAGGCGACAAAACCATCAAGATCTGGGATCCCGCCTCAGGGCAATGCCTGCAAACGCTACAAGGCCACAGCCTTTCGGTATATTCAGTTGCCTTCTCACCAGATGGCCAGCAGCTCGCATCGGGTTCAAGCGACAAAACCATCAAGATCTGGGATCCCGCCTCAGGGCAATGCCTGCAAACGCTAGAAGGCCACAGCGTTTCGGTATATTCAGTTGCCTTCTCACCAGATGGCCAGCAGCTCGCATCGGGTTCAGACGACCAAACCATCAAGATCTGGGATCCCGCCTCAGGGCAATGCCTGCAAACGCTAGAAGGCCACAGCGTTTCGGTATATTCAGTTGCCTTCTCACCAGATGGCCAGCAGCTCGCATCGGGTTCAGACGACCAAACCATCAAGATCTGGGATCCCGCCTCAGGGCAATGCCTGCAAACGCTACAAGGCCACAGCCTTTCGGTATATTCAGTTGCCTTCTCACCAGATGGCCAGCAGCTCGCATCGGGTTCAGGCGACAAAACCATCAAGATCTGGGATCCCGCCTCAGGGCAATGCCTGCAAACGCTACAAGGCCACAGCCTTTCGGTATATTCAGTTGCCTTCTCACCAGATGGCCAGCAGCTCGCATCGGGTTCAAGCGACAAAACCATCAAGATCTGGGATCCCGCCTCAGGGCAATGCCTGCAAACGCTAGAAGGCCACAGCGACTCGGTTCAGTCAGTTGCCTTCTCACCAGATGGCCAGCAGCTCGCATCGGGTTCAGACGACAGAACCATCAAGATCTGGGATCCCGCCTCAGGGCAATGCCTGCAAACGCTAGAAGGCCACAGCGATTCTGTTCGGTCATTCGCCCTCTCGGAAGATAATCTAGCGAGTAATAGATATAGTTGGGGGCACGACCAAACTTGGATTAATTGTAATGGCCGGAATGTAGTATGGCTACCACCAGAATACCGCCCGGTTTGTTCTGCCGTGCACGGGCGGATGATGTCTATCGGCTGTTCATCTGGACAAGTCTTTACAATTGGCTTCTCACAAGATGTTTAGAACAGTACCTTTTATCTATCTCTACTTCATCCTCTTTATTTCTTTTTCCTAGCTTGACACCAGAAGGGTCCGGGAGGATGGGTTGCTTTATAGAAACTATAGAAATTCTATCGTTTTCCATTGATATCGAGATGACTCACGTAGTTTTCTTTAAGAAGGCAAGATCAACAGGTTCAATTCTCTTGACGTCACATATGATGTGACGGAGGCGAGTTTGTGTCAGATGGAATGGCCTAGAAGGTGCTGGAACCTACGATGCGTAATCTTCGCCACTGGAATACGTCATGTAATTGCCACATAAGGAGGTATACGAGAGAGTCTTTTGTGGAAAGACTGGAACGGAAGATTAGGAGCAATTCACTCTGCCTTCTGGTGGCGGTGGCCATGGTGGCTTCTCTTCCTTCTTCTTCTCTCTTCTCTCTTCAAAACCTATTGTCAATCTCTCTCTCTCTCTCTCTGGCTGTTATGCCTGCACTCTGCCTGCACTCTACAGGTTGCAAGTCGACAACTTGCAATTCTGGCATCCTCTCTATTGTGACCACCTTGATCAGGCGTACCTGCCTTCTATTCTGCCTTCTATTCTCTCTCTGCTCTCTCTTGTTTATACTCTTGCGCCAGCCAATAGCAGGAGGCTCCGTGCAGCCTCCTGGCTATTATGCCACACCCAGTTCGAGTCGAACTGCTTGATGCGCGCCCGCTGATTGGTCGCCCAAAACCCGTGCACGGACGAATTTGAGTCGAACTGGTTCAAGATTTGCTGGTCAACCAGTTCGACTTTTTCACCGGAAAAACGACGGGCAAAATCCGCTGCACGCACGTAGAATGACTAAACCAAGCATGCCGATCTCGAATCCGCCGTCCATTTGCCCCGTAGATGTATGGTTGGTCGTGCATTGACGATTTAGGTCAGAAGGTGTGTTTTTGGGCGACGGTGACGCACGGGCCAAGCGGCCGACTCACGGGCCAAGCGGCTGACAAGAAGTCGATCCGAGTCGAACTTGGTGCCCCAAGCAGTTCGAGTCGAACTGCTTGATGGGCCGCCGCTGATTGGTCGAACTGGTGGAGGATTGAGCCCGTCAATCAGTTCGACTTTTTGAAAGGGAAAACGATAGGCAAAAGTGGCTGCGCGCACGTAGATTGACCAAATCGAGTGCGGCAATATCGAATCCGCCGTCCATTTGCCCCGTAGACGTATGGTTGGTTGTGCATTGACGATTCAAGGCCAGAAGGTGTGTTTCTGGCGACGGTGACGCACGGGCCAAGCGGCCGACAAGGAGTCAATCCGAGTCGAACTCGGTGCCCCAACCAGTTCGAGTCGAACTGCTTGATGGGCCGCCGCTGATTGGTCGAACTGGTGGAGGATTGAGCCCGTCAATCAGTTCGACTTTTTGATAGGGAAAACGATGGGCAAAAGTGGCTGCGTGCATGTAGATTGACTAAATCGAGTGCGGCAATATCGAATCCACCGTCCATTTGCTCCGTAGACGTACGGTTGGTTGTGCATCGACGATTCAAAGGTCAGAAGGTGTGTTTTTGGTGATGGTGATGCACGGGCCAAGCGGCCGACAAGAAGCTGACCTGAGTCGGACTCGGTGCCCCAAGCAGTTCGAGTCGAACTGCTTGATGGGCCACCGCTGATTGGTCGAATTGGGTGAGGATTGAGCCCGTCAATCAGTTCGACTTTTTGATAGGGAAAACGATGAGCAAAAGTGGCTACGCGCACGTAGATTGACCAAATCGAGTGTGGCAATATCGAATCCGCTGTCCATTTGCCCCGTAGACGTACGGTTGGTTGTGCATCGACGATTCAAGGTCAGAAGGTGTGTTTTTGGTGATGGTGATACACGGGCCAAGCGGCTGATAAGAAGTCGACCCCAGTCAAACTTGGTGCCCCAAGCAGTTCGAGTCGAACTGCTTGATGGGCCGCCGCTGATTGGTCGAACTGGTGGAGGATTGAGCCCGTCAATCAGTTCGACTTTTTGATAGGGAAAACGATAGGCAAAAGTCGCTGCGCGCACGTAGATTGACCAAAACGAGTGCGGCAATATCAAATCCGCCGTCCATTTACCCCGTAGACATACGGTTGGTCGTGCATCGACGATTCAAGGTCAGAAGGTGTGTTTTTGGCGACAGTGACGCACAGGCCAAGCGGCCGATAAGAAGTCGATCCGAGTCGAACTCGGTGCCCCAACCAGTTCGAGTCGAACTGCTTGATAGGCCACCGCTGATTGGTCGGTTGATTTGAGGTGCATGGACCAAGTCAAGCCCAACTGCTCGAGCATCCGGCTGTCAATTAGTTTGAGTTGTCAGGAAGGGAGATAATGGTTAAAACCCGCTGCGCGTAGGTAGACCGGTCGAACCCAAGGCCGCGATGTTAAACACATGGTTCATTGGCCCCGTAGACATATGGTTGGTTATGCACGAGTAGGTTCAGCGACAGTAATGCACGAGCCAAGTAGTTGACCATTTGAAAACATACAGGGAAGCGGGAAAAAAAGCAAAGAAAGGGGAAATGAAGGGAAAAAAACCCCCCAAAAAAACCAACCACCCCCCGGCGAAATAAAAGGTGAGATTTCAAGAAAGGAAGGTAAAAGGAAAATAGAAAATCAATTCAATACCAACCAACCGACCACGTACCCACCAATTCAGGTTATTCGGCATTTAAACGGAATTATGGAGTTGTTTAATAACTTGTTTATACATTCCCCCGATTACCGTTTGGCGATTTGCCGGGAACACCGTAGTGCGGTAACGGCAGGATCGATCGCGTATCACGTCCATTCGCAACACCGCCATATAGCCAAGAAAGTGCGCCAACGCATCGTCGAGGAGGCGGGCGAGTTAGAGAAGGGTGGCACGTTGGCGGCCGACGTCCATGGGATCCAGTTCCCGGCCGGAGTTGTGCCAGCGATCAGGCCGTTGCCCGTTTGGAGCGATGGCAAGAAGTGCACGCGGTGCGGACACATCCGGCGGACCAAGCAAGATATTCAGAAGCATTGCCGAGACGAGCATGGATGGGTCAACCCGCGGGGGCAGGGCAGGAAAGCCGGGGCGAGAGCAGCAGGCGGCATGGGCGAGGTGTGGGTAGACGGCGTGTATTGCCAGCGGTTCGGGCAAACAGGAGCATTGCAGCGGTTGTTTGAGGTTGTGCCGGCGGCCGATACGGAGGGCGGGGCCGGCAGGGGAAGCAGCCCAGTCGGCACCACGGGGTATAAGGTGATTATGACGCAGTTTGAAGAGTTGGCCAAGGCAATAGAGGAAGGGGACAAGAAAGCGGCAGCATTGATCCACGACCAGCCCAGGTTGTCAGCCAATATGTGGATCCGGCGGACGGGTTGGCCCCGGCATTTACGAGGGTTCGATCGCGAGTGGTTGGCAGGAACGACGCGGCGGCCAGACCCAGACGGTGGACAAAACGCAGACGACGACAAAAGGGGGGGTGTAGAGGGGGGCGGGGACGAAGCAGGCGACGAAGCAGGCGACGAAGCAGGCGGGGAGGGGGAAACCCAGGGAGAAGCAGGTAGGGACGAAGCAACCCGAGAAAAAGCGTTGGTCAAGGTATTATTGGCCATCGAGAGGGTAATTTGGCGGGCACAAAAAGCATCGCGGGCCGAGGTGGTCGGGTCGGCCGCAGTGAATTATATCGAGGGGCGGGAAGCCGGAGGGCAGTCGAACGAGAAGCCGTTCAATTCGGGCCAGAAAGGCCAAACGATGGAGCGGTATAGCGAGTCGTGGAAATCGATAATGGCGTACGTGTGGCGGACGCAGCATTTAGCAGTGGCCGAGGAAGGAGAGGCCGAGGGAGAGGAGGGAGAGGAGGGGGAGGAGGGGGAGGAGGGAGAGGAGGGGGAGGAGGGAGAGGAGGGAGAGGAGGGAGAGGCCGAGGGAGAGGAGGGAGAGGCCGAGGGAGAGGAGGGCGAAGCGATAGACGCGCGGGAACAAAATGATAATACAGGTTCCACAGGCGCCAGCCAAGAGGGGGGAATCCGCAACAAACGACCGGCATACCATTTAACGCAACGCCAAGCAGACAAGTTCACGCAATTGCAAGAAGCCGCGTATATAGCGACAATGGCGCATATGCGGTTAGAGGAAGACAGCAACGGCGACGGCGACGGCGACGGCGACGGCGACGAAGAAGAAGACGACGACGGCGACGATACGCAACAGTTGGAGCGTTGCGTATTAGCATTTTTTATTTCATTATTAGACCATGATGTGGGCGACAACGAGTACCAGAACGCATTATACAGCGGGTTGGCCGTGTTGGGGATCCACGTTGGGCACGGTTGGAAGAGCGCGTTGATATATACGCCCACGTTGTCGGCAATCGTGACGGTGGCCCGTATGTTGGTATTATATACGGCCAAGCGGGGGCGTGAGGAGGAAATCCAGAACAGGATCCGGGCGAGCGGCGAGAGCGAGCAAGAGGCGAGGCGCAAGGCGCGGAGCCATTTTGACCGCGTCCAGGGGATGGTGCAGCGTTTCATGACCATCATAGCATATAATGGCCGGCCGTCGCCAATGGATTCGATATTGCGGTTGCGGGCGTACGGCAAAGCGATCCGGGCAAACACGAACGCAGACGGCGTGGTGGATTGGCACGGGGACGAGTTGTTATACGGGCATGTGCAGATCAGCATGTCGTCGTTGCGGATGATGATACACGGGTTGTTGCACACGGCAAGGGGGCAGTTACGGCGGGAAATGTTGTTGTTGGAGACGGACGACGAGGGCGAGGTAGTAAAAGGATCGACGGCGAGCGAGGCGATGAAGTCGTTCCGGGCATAGTTGTTGGTATTAATGCACATGAGCGGCGGGCAGCCGGCGCGGGGGACCGAGTTAGTTACGGTCCAGTATAAGAACGGGAGGTGGGCGAGTTGGTGGCATATTATGTGTGGTTAGCGTTTTGGAGGGTAGTGGTCAGGGGTTCAAGCCGAGGGTCGTCGGATTGGGGCAGCCCGTACATATGGGAGCCGCAGAAAGAAAGCACATGGGCGTTCCCCATAGGGGTGAAGAGGAAGCCAACAGATGCAGGGCGGCCGCAAGGTACGGTTGGGAAAAGGAGGAGAATACGGGAGCGGTTACCCCGGGGTCGAGGGTATTATACGAGCCGGGCGGGAGAGGGGCGAGAATGGCGACGAGAGGGGCAAGAAAAGAGCAGAGAAGAGACAACGGGCGACGATATACAGCAAATGAGCCAGCAATATCATCATTTATGGCAGGCAGAGCGGTGGGGTACGGACCGGGTAGGAAGAGAGATTGGACGGGTGAGATGGAGTTATATTGGAGAAAAATCAGGAATCATGGTACGGAGGCATATGGTAAAGGCGATTCACCGGCGGTTTATCAAAGATAAGTCGATTATTGATATTGTCGATAATGCAGACATGACGGATGGCGGGGCCACGGATGGCGGGGAGGAGAGACGGAGCGAGAGATGTAGGAGACGCATTCCACGGGCAGAGCGGACACGGGGCACGTATAGAAGAGGGAATTTATGGGCGGTCAATTAACGAGTCGTTATTTAGTACGGAAGCAAGGCGGTTAGGGTTCCGGCGGGTTAGCCAGGAGTGGCATAGGTTTTGCATGTTTGATTCGGTCATACGAGAAGGAAGCGGGAGGAGGCGGCAAATGCGGGAGGTAGGCAGGCAGGCGACAGAGGAAGAGGATAAGCAGTGGAGGGTAATGAGGTAGGTGGACATTTAGTGGTAGTTGGAGAAGATGTTGGGGAA